CCGGCGCCACTTGCCGGTACTTGGCGTGCTCGCTGGCGCCGTTTTGGAAGGAATCTGCTGCCCGGTAAGCCGCTTGGCTACACAAACGACTAGTTTCCTGGAATTTCGTATTTTCGTGTGCCAAGTGTTCGGCAAATTTGCCCCTTAACTGCGTTTTCCGTCCGATCTGGGTTATTTCCAATAGCTTTTAGTATTGAAATACGTCGATTCTGCGCAAATCTTTTTTTTTAATGCTGCGCTCAACACAGCCTCCTGCGATCCAAGTGCCTCTTTGTACGTTTTGACTGGATAATTTGCTTTTCTGTGAAAATGTGTTCTGGAGCAAGCAACACTCTCTCTACTTTTGCAGAAAATCTAATTTGCACGGTTTGTTGCATGAGTTCACGGTTTTCACGGTTTGCATGATATTCATGTTTTCCCGCGCGACTCTGCGTCCACACTAGCTTTTCCATAGCAAAATAATGCATTTTTCTCCGTTTCTGCCTGTTGTGGATCTTGGTGAAGCTGGCAGCATCCTTGGATTCAGCCCAAAACAGCAAAGTACTTTTCGTGGTTTTTGTGTGTTTTCGAAAACCTTAATTTTAAGAACAGTAAATCTATTTTAGATGTAGTGGCTTTAGTAGTGTTTTTCCTTTGTCTTTTTTCGACTTCGGGTGTATATACCAAAATAATCACTAGATTAACCTGACGTTATAGTCGATTTCTTCGCAGCCAAGGCAGAGGACGTCTCACAAGCTTTTCGCGACTGCGACCGCCACGCACCCAGCAGACGGAGCCTCTTTTGAGCAAGGCCACAAAATAGCATCGCTGGTAGTACTTGGGAGTGCTCTCTCATGCAAACTTGAACCGTTGTCTGGATGCATTTTTCATGATCTTTTCCTTATCTAGATCCACTGATCGCTGCATGCCCTCATCGGAATGGCCTCAGGACAAGTCGGTTGAAATCAGTGGGTTCCGTTTCCTTGCATGGTTCACAGCAGTCTGCAGTGCATAGCGGTACGCGGCTCTCTGTCTCCGCAATGTCGTCTTGGTCGTCGCTGAAGAAGGGCGGCAAAGTGATCTCCCTGGACACCAGCAGCTCTGAAGAGAACAAGGAGCCAAACAGCCCTGTGAATGAGGAAGCCGCCGAGGGAAAGGAGGCCGCGGTTGCGAGCAAAGCTGAATCGCATATGCCAGCAGTGAAGGTCGAGAAGACGGAACCCGATGACACCAGTTCCAAGAAGCGGAAGGCTTGCGACATGATTTGGCGCGAGCACACAGGTTTCGGCCTCTGCCGCGGCTCCAACCAACTTCCTTGCAGCTTCGGAAAGGATGGACTTCCTGCACAGGCTGGTCCATGCAGCCGCTGCGACCTCTGCAGCAGCGACGCGCTGGAGGCCTTGCACGACGGCATGCCGCAGCGCGTCACCCACTTGCTGTCAAACCTCCATGGAAAGCCCCTCAAGCATGCTTTCGTGCGTATCAAGATTGTGTTGGGCAAGGCTGCAGAGGCGGACTACAAAATGCGGCGACAGCGAGTCCTGCAACGTCGAAATCCGCATCGACCCAAGCGAGCTCCTCGCAAACCAGTGAAGGCTTGAACGAGACTTCTCACAGCCACTGCTGGTGGCTCAGACATCGCCAAGCCTCCGCCTCTGTCACAGCTCAGTTGCTAGTTGACGATGTTGCTGAAAGTCCGCGGTGAGTGCGGCAGACACACAAGCACGCAGCAAAAGATATGCTTGTTTTCTTCCGTGTAGCTTCTCTGAGTAGTTGCAAGACATGTTTCAGCCGAGCTCGACAGGACCGCTGCCAACATCGTCTGTTGATTCGTGTTTCCTATCA